AAGAGGATGGGGCCCAGAATAGAGCCTTGGGGAACCCCACAGGTAAGAGGGGCTTTGGCAGAGGAGAACTGTCCACAAACAACTGCAAAATGATGAGAAAGAGGCATGACGCCACAAAGAAGTGCTAAATTACTTCATAAAGAGGCAAAACAACTACAAAGAGACACAGAAAGACTCTAGATTGTTATACAGGGCGACTGCAAAGCGATAAAGACTCACAAGAGAACTTTGCTCGGATAAAGAAGGGACTTTTATGTCACTGTATCTCAGATTCTGTGCATGATGTGAAAGATTCAAATGTCTCTACATACTCCTATTTCGACACAAGAGGGCAGAATTGTTGTTTTTCATGCAGATGTAACACAGACAACTCTCAGAGAAGATTTGTTGGGCTTGATGCACAATTATCCAGTTTTCAAATAAGGTTATTGCTGTTTTTACTGCTGGTACTGGTAGTCTACATCCAGGGTGAGATACTGATTTGAGCCTACAGAGAGTGCATTAACCAGCCTTTACATACATAGGGTTAGTTTAGTTTAATGTTCAAACTGTTCTTCATATAAAATAGTTTGCATTCAGTAGCTATGTTTTATTTCTCTGTCTCGGAGCTGTAGTTGATTTTAAATGAAAGTCACTCCCACCACCAAGAGCTGAAGATGCATGAAGTGACTGCTGTATGGGAGCTAATGTGGGCCTCATATAGTCATACAAGAACCTCCCTCGTATGAAACAGCGTACAGCAGTGTTGTAGTCAAGTCACCAATTCACGAGTCCAAGTCACTCTCGAGTCACCACTCTTCGAGTCCGAGTCCAAGTCCGAGTCACCAAGGGAGAGTCGTAGTCGAGTCCGAGTCCAAGTCCGAGTCACCCAAGGAGTGTCCGAGTCGAGTCCGAGTCCGAGTCATCATTACCTGTGTTCGAGTCCGAGTCCAAGTCCGAGTCGCCCAAGGAGTGTCCGAGTCGAGTCCGAGTCCGAGTCCAAGTCCGAGTCACCTAAGAAGAGTCCAAGTCAAGTCCGAGTCACAAGTCTTCATGTATTAATCTTCGTGGATATATGTGTTGAAATGTAGCTGCTCCTCTACATTGCTTTTATCCTGTCATGTTCAGTGTTGTAGTCAAGTCACCAATTTACGAGTCCAAGTCACTCTCGAGTCACCACTCTTCGAGTCCGAGTCCAAGTCCGAGTCACCAAGGGAGAGTCGTAGTCGAGTCCGAGTCCAAGTCCGAGTCACCCAAGGAATGTCCGAGTCGAGTCCGAGTCCGAGTCATCATTACCTGTGTTCGAGTCCGAGTCCAAGTCCGAGTCACCCAAGGAGTGTCCGAGTCAAGTCCGAGTCCGAGTCATCATTACCTGTGTTCGAGTCCGAGTCCAAGTCCGAGTCACCTAAGAAGAGTCCAAGTCAAGTCCGAGTCACAAGTCTTCATGTATTAATCTTCATGGATATATGTGTTGAAATGTAGCTGCTCCTCTACATTGCTTTTATCCTGTCATGTTATACTAATCTGTCTATTGAACTGCTGTGAAGCCAGTTTGGCTACAATTCTTGTAATAGGTGCTATACAAATATAAAGCTTATTACTAATATTAATATTATTATTATATATAAACTATGTTTAAAATGAGTTACCTTTTAGAGAAGTGATTATATTTGTATGCCAATATTTTCCTATGGTAAAGTTTTCGTTTTGCACTTTTATTTTGATAGTAATAAGATCGGGACTCTTATTTTGAAGGAACTTTTACCGGTTAAATCGGTTTACTGATAAAGATTTAGTCCCAGAAAGCACATGGCTACTTAGCATGCAAAATGACGTCATTCTGCATGTTAAGTAGCCATATGCTTTCGTGTTATCGGCTGAATCTTTATGTATTGATTAGATGACGTTACTCTGATGATAGTGTTCAAGACAGCCTATATGTCTGAACTCGATGTTTAGAGTAATGTGTTACGAAGCCTTCTCTTCAATATTGTTTCCACATAGAGCATTTTGCGCTGCTCTTTTCCAATGTGGAAGCAGAATGTGTGAAAGCATACAGCACGATGCGCGGTGTGTCTCTAGACATCTTTAGACTGGAATAGCGGGGCCCAGTACGTGAACTCGCCTCGCAGCCGGTGCACACGCCAGGATAGAGGACATCAGACTCCATAGAAAACTTGCTCGAGTCCGAGTCCGAGTCCAAGTCGGAGCGTCAATGTACAAGTAGAGTCCGAGTCATCATGGGGGGAAAAATTCACGAGTCCGAGTCCGAGTCCAAGTCAGCGTACGCGATAATTCACGAGTCCGAGTCCGAGTCCAAGTCATCGTGCGCGAGAATTCACGAGTCCGAGTCCGAGTCCAAGTCATCGTGCGCGAGAATTCACGAGTCCAAGTCCGAGTCGCGTCAATCAGTGCGGGAGTCCGAGTCGAGTCACGAGTCCCGAAAATCGGCACTCGAGTCCGACTCGAGTCCGAGTCCAGGACTCGAGTACTCCATCTCTGGTCATGTTATACTAATCTGTCTATTGAACTGCTGTGAAGCCAGTTTGGCTACAATTCTTGTAATAGGTGCTATACAAATATAAAGCTTATTACTAATATTAATATTATTATTATTATATATAAATAAACTATGTTTAAAATGAGTTACCTTTTAGAGAAGTGATTATATTTGTATGCCAATATTTTCCTATGGTAAAGTTTTCGTTTTGCACTTTTATTTTGATAGTAATAAGATCGGGACTCTTATTTTGAAGGAACTTTTACCGGTTAAATCGGTTTACTGATGAAGATTTAGCCCCAGAAAGCACATGGCTACTTAGCATGCAAAATGACGTCATTCTGCATGTTAAGTAGCCGTGTGCTTTCGTGTTATCGGCTGAATCTTTATTTATTGATTAGATCACGTTACTCTGATGATAGTGTTCAAGACAGCCTATATGTCTTAACTCGATGTTTAGAGTAATGTGTTACGGAGCCTTCTCTTCAATATTGTTTCCACATAGAGCATTTTGCGCTGCTCTTTTCCAATGTGGAAGCAGAATGTGTGAAAGCATACAGCAAGATGCGGGGTGTGTCTCTAGACATCTTTAGACTGGAATAGCGGGGCCCAGTACGTGAACTCGCCTCGCAGCCGGTGCACACGCCAGGATAGAGGACATCAGACTCCATAGAAAACTTGCTCGAGTCCGAGTCCGAGTCCAAGTCAGAGCGTCAATGTACAAGTCGAGTCCGAGTCATCGTGGGGGGAAAAATTCACGAGTCCGAGTCCGAGTCCAAGTCAGAGTACGCGATAATTCACGAGTCCGAGTCCGAGTCCAAGTCATCGTGTGCGAGAATTCACGAGTCCAAGTCCGAGTCGCGTCAATCAGTGCGCGAGTCCGAGTCGAGTCACGAGTCCCGAAAATCGGCACTCGAGTCCGACTCGAGTCCGAGTCCAGGACTCGAGTACTCCATCTCTGGCGTACAGAGTGCTGAGCTGTGACCTGACCTGAGGTTCTGATACGCACCACCGGCACAAACGTACAGAAACTACATGAGCCCCAGTCAGAGGGGAAGTGAAACTCTAATGTTCCCCTTTCCTAATCCAGATGTTCAATTATATACATAGTCACTAAGAACAAAAATTGCTTAAATTAATTTATGAGACAAAATACCTGAAATCTATTGAGTGGCCCAGCCCTTTGTATGTTTTTCTCTATGTTCAAGGTTCAAGGTCAAGGTTCAAGGTTTTTATTTTGTCATACGAACATAGCTACAGTGTAGTTATGACGATGACAATCTTAGGTCACAGGCTTCAGTCTGAAGTAAAGCGTCCTGCTGCAGCTGCAGAGGTGAAGAGACTGAGAGGAGGGAAACTGGTCCAGTGAACACAAGAGTCATCAAGCAGAACCTCCATGAATCCAAATAAAGCTGACACACACTCACAGACACTCTTCAATACCCTGTTTCAACTATATTATAGTCATTCAATTCAGTCTCTTTATGAGTGAGCTGGGAAAGTTAGATTCATGTTGAACTATAGCCACTGATATCAACATATATTTAACAGTAACTTTATGAATGGCTTTACAAAACAATTAACCCTCCTGTTGTCTTCGGGTCAAATCTGACCGATTTACTACTTTCATCAATCATAACTTTTTTGTTTTACATTCGATTGCATTAAGGCTTTATGATATCCTTCACAGTAGACATTTGAACATATAAAATGGCTGATCACCACTTTCATTGAATGTTGGATGAGTTAGTGAACTTTGTAACACCCATGGAAAAGGAATTAGTAACCATCCGGATCAGATAAAAAATACACCCACACACACACCCACCCACCCACACACACACACACACACACACACACACACACACACACACACACACACACACACAACACACACACACACACACACACACCCACACACACACACCCACCCACACCACACACACACACACCACACACACACACACACACACACACACACACACACACACACACACACACACACACACACACTAGATGTGTTTTCCCCCTTATGTGCCCATCCCCCCACATGGATCACACCTGGCACACGCAATACATGTTCAGTGTCTATTCTTTGTATATTAACTGCAGTTTTTCATGTATACCAGTAGTCTGATACAATATGTACAGTTTGAAAGGGTGTTAAATGAAATTTGGTGATGATTAATGGTTTTTGTGTTAATGTAATAGCAGTTAAAACAGGACCGGTCAAATTTGACCGCGAACACCAAAGTAAGGGGGGGGGGGGGGGGGGGGGAACGAAGACAATAGGAGGTTTAATAATATTAGCACGTTCCAAACATACGCAACACAATTTAAATAATTTGAAGTACTTCTTTAAAAAAAAAAAAAAATGTAAGCACACAATGTAGTAATTTACACTCCACTGTCCCACAGTCATTATACATGATATTAATATAATACGAGGTTTCATACTGAAGGTATTAATACATTTTTCTCACAATGAACATATGAATTAAAGAAATACAAAGACAGTGTCTCATTTTAATCAACATTTTTATTTAATGATGGTTTAAAGCTCACGCCACATTTGAGATGAATGATGAGTTTCTGTTGGAGTGAAACAAATGAAATCCAGTTGAATTGTGAGCTGATGAACAAACAGGAGAATATGCAGGAAGTGAGGATTAGAGAGCAGCACTAACAACTGAACAGAGACAGCAGCAACATGTGAGCAGAGGAGATGTGTGTCTTCATGAAGATCTCTACCAAAGAAGCTGCTTCCTCTCCAGACAGGAAGTGATGCTCTACTCCGAGCAGCGGGCAGGGTCCAGGCTTTGAGTGACAGGGCTCTGTCCACTCAGACTGGCCTCACAGCTCACTGAGCCCGCCCCCCTCCAGCGCTCTGCAGAGAGGCTCAGGGTGCTGCTCCAGCTGTAGCGGCCGTCGCTCCCCAGGACCTCCGGGCTGTGGGACCCCCCTGAGGAGCTGCTGCTGCCCCCCAGCTTCCAGCCCAGCCTCCAGGCGGAGGGGAAGCCCCCGCTGGCCAGACACACCACGGTGGCACTGCCCTGCTGCAGCTCCTCTCTGGAGGGGGGGAGGACGCTCAGGGTGGGCCGCTGCACACCCACTGGAGCAGGGAGGGAGGGGGGAGGCAAAGGAAGACATTAGAGTGAACACTTGATTATAAGGTCCTTTTTTGATGTTGTCATTTTGCTGCTGTCAAATCCTTGAGTCAGTACTTTACGATACCAGTCACCTCTGTGGAAACATTGGTATCACTGCCTTTTTTAATTTACATTTGAGTGTTGTACGTCTTTTAAAAATGGACCTTGAGTCTCTTCAATAAAGCTGATGATGATGATGAGGAAAAGTAACAAACTTGTGTTTTCTTTTAAAAGAACATCCATAACATTCATCTGTTTGCAACTTACACATTATTTATCTAATATATCATATTCCAATTACTTTTTATTGTATCTGTGTTATTGTGCTGCTCTGTGGGAGGAGCCTGTGACCTAAGATGTTCATTAACATATCTGCACTGTAGCTCTGTGGGAGGAGCCTGTGACCTAAGATGTTCATTAACATATCTACACTGTAGCTCTGTGGGAGGAGCCTGTGACCTAAGATGTTCATTAACATATCTGCACTGTAGCTCTGTGGGAGGAGCCTGTGACCTAAGATGTTCATTATCATATCTGCACTGTAGCTCTGTGGGAGGAGCCTGTGACCTAAGATGTTCATTAACATATCTGCCCTGTAGCTCTGTGGGAGGAGCCTGTGACCTAAGATGTTCACTAACATATCTAAACTGTAGCTCTGTACACATGACAATAAAAGCCTTGAATCCTTGAATCCTTATATTTCATCAAATAAAACAGAACAAGTTGTGCTGCTGTTACTCTCATAAATCACTCAGGATCAGACCCCCACATGATTCAAGTGTGAATGACTGACTTTGTGTAAAGTGAGCAAGCTAAAGATTCATTGATAATAATGATTGAATATCTTCATATGTGTGATGATGTTCTTTAAACTGACAGAGCTGAACGTCTCAAGTGAAAACAGTTCAAACATTTATCATCTGTCTCTTTCACTTCCTTTTCACTGCATGTCAAATCAATGAACCGTGAACACGACGACAAGCTGCATTCACTGATACAATCACAAGTTTAAGATGAATCCATATTTAACTTGAATTCAACAAAATAGTTGATAATTTAATAGACAATAGATAAATAATGTAAATATATACAATATTGTGAACTACAAATGTAAAACTGAATGTGGCGGAGACGTCAAGCTTTAACAAATCTTAATGAATAAAACAATTGAGTATAAAGTTGTTATGATAATAAAATATAATATAGAAAATAAACAAGTTATTTGCTTTAAAAAATGTATTTGTAAGAAACGAACAATTGATATAGAAGTCTGCAAAGGTTCCTTTCAGATTACAAGAGGAGCTTAATACAAACATATAAAAATGGAATCTAAAAAAATGTGAAGTTGAGTCTCATTTAATAATTAATGAAAGTTATATATTTGCTATAAGTTGTATAAAATTAAAATCTCTGGTACTTACAGTCAACGATGAGTTTGGTTCCTCCACCAAAAGTCCACCACAGTGATACAAACTCATTAAGTGGCCGTACAAAAACCTCCTGCACTGTCAACAAGCATGTATCACTGAGAAAGCTCCCTGATCTCACTGATAACAGAGACAAATATACCCTTTTTAAATCAACAAAGCTTTTCTAAAGATATGGATTACATCTCTGGAAGAATAAATATGATTTATGTCATTTTTCATCACTTTTCTACACCTGGCAGAGAAACCATTACAGTCTTCTACACAACTAACTTTGTCAGTTTTATATTAGTTTCTACACGGTTAAATGAACATGAGGCTTTTAAATAATAGTTATTAACAAATGTATTTGAAACAGAACTGAAACATGTTATTTATCTACAGTGAATCTCTGTATGTATGTTAATGTCAGACAAACAGACATATCATACCAACCACAGTGGACACAAACTCAAATCCTCATCTCCACTCCTGATATAAATATGTTCTTCCATTCAGATGATAGACGGTGTAAATCCAGACAGCTTTCCTCCTGGTTTCGTGTCCCACGTTGCCTTCAGTGTGCTGAGAGCAGAGAAATCATTTCCATAGAGAGGAGGCTTTGCATGGTCAGCTGATCCTCCAGTGAGAAGGTTTATAGTCCTGTGAGTTCAACACTGCAGGACTCACATCTGTCAGTCAGCAGAAAGCACCATGACTCTCATCACCATCCTCATCTGGACGCTGGCCTGCTGCTGTTTCACAGGTTCATTCACTCAGCAACATTTCAAACATCATGTGCTGCCTTTCCTCTCCTTTCTTTCTGCTGAGAAATCAATGATCTGTTTTTGTGTGCAGGATGCAGCGGTCAGGTGACTCAGCCTGCAGTCCAGACATCTGCTCCAGGATCCACCGTCACTCTCACCTGTAAAACAAGCACAGATGTTGATGCCGACTGCGGTGATAGTCTAAGTCAAATTTGTATGTTCTGGTATCAACAGAAATCTGGACAGCCTCCAAAGCTCCTGATAACATATGCGAGCACACGTGAATCAGGAACAGAACCTCGGTTTAGTGGCAGTGGAAGCGGCTCTGACTTCTCTATGACCATCACTGGACTGAAGGCTGTAGATGCAGCAGTTTATTACTGTGCAGATGTGTTCACACAGTGATTTGTAGTCGTACAAAAACCTCCCTCAGTCAGACTGCAGAGACTCTGAGCTGTTACAGCAGGAACCACCTGCAGCTGCTGAAGAGGAACAGACTGACACAGCCCACTGAACTCAGAGCTGACAGGAACCCACCCAGCACTATTCACTTCATATTCTTAAATATACATAATCTTAAAACTCATTGAGATTAAACCAGTTAAAAAAACACATTTGATGTAAAACCAGCATTACACACAAACCATATTATGATCTCTGCTTCTCTCTCCAAAGTATTATTTTTACTATTTACATTTTGGAGCAAGGCAGCTTTAGTTGTTCTCAGCTGTTGGTGCTCCATTATCTCGCTGACCTCAGATCAGAGTGATATGATCTCTGTCTCCATCAGTGTTGCAATTCCTAATTCAGAAAATCATGTTTTTGTATCTTCTTTCTTTATTTTGAAACCACCTACCCCACACCAATCACAATGTTGGTCTCATTACTGAGCCAAAAACAAATGAGCTTTTAACTCTCAAGCCATAGTATGCAGACGAGCTACTGACTGTTCTAGCATCCTTGCTACCAATTGACCGATCCCAAATGTTTTTTGTACATTTCAAGACAATTTCTCTTTTATGGCAGCCAAAAATAACCCAGAGACATTTGTCCACATGTCCCCAGAAGGAGGACTTTAAAGCAGGACCATCTCTGACCTCTCTGTCCTTATTCTCCTCTCATGAATATAACTCACTGAATACAAATGCCCTCCCTCCGTTAGTTGGTAGCTATCATTAAATACCCAAGAGGAAATCAATGTGAAATCATATTGAATCCTTTTTGATATTGTAATGTTTTTTATGAGGCGACAAATGAAGCCACACAAACTCCTTTGTTGCTCCCTCAGGCGGGGTTCAAACCCTGTTTCTTCATACTCCATCTTTGTCCTTCCCCGCCGGACCAAATGAACCAGAGAGACAAAAAAGGTGACACTGAAGATGCAGAAAGTGTATCTTCTTTAACCTGCAGAGAAATTAAGCATCAACATTTAAACAGATTTACTTAAGACCGGGTTCAAATCCCACCTGGACTGTGTTTCCCTTCAGCCAACCCACAGCAGACTGTTTCATAGTAGCTGTTTTTATTGTGAGAAATGAACTCAATCATGTTGTTCTGCAATGGGAGCATCCAAGAGACGTCGGACACAATTTGACCTCTGAAAATCAGCAAACAGTTTTTATTCCTCACACATTTTACATTTATATATTCAGTTTAATATTTAATATTCCATCTGTCACATACTTATATAATATAATACCTTGCTTTATATCTTGTTATTGTTCATTTGTTAATTCAACATTTTCTACTTTCTTGTTTATTTCTTGTCATTACATTTGTATTGTACAATGCCATGTCTTTGTATGCTGCTGCAACACAAACATTTCCCAACTTGGCATCAATAAAGTATTATCTTACCTTATCTCTCTCTTACATTTAAAAATTCAGCGTTAGAAGTTTAAACGTTCAAAGTTAAAAAATATGCCTCCTTTACCTCAAAATCTTTTGAATTGCATGAAGGACAATCTGCTCTCCGATTAGGCGCTCATTTAATAGCTAGAAAAGTCCTGTCGATCCCTTACTCTGGAAAATGGTAAGCATGAAATAATCATAATGATAAAGGCTCTGAGCGTCTGGAAATGGTTGGTTTAGGTCAACACAGTCTCACTCCCAACTCGTCCTGTATGTCAGGATCACTTGGCGTCACTTTCAAACGCTCTGGGAAGCCCTTTAGCGTCGACTTTCAACTATCAGGGTACTCCCATAGACTTGCATAGAGCTCCCTAAACGTTGGTAATAGACGACTTGAGATGGTGGAGAAATGCTCTCTGATAAACCAAGTGTCACTGCGTTTATCAACTTGTTTCTGACTCAATATCAAGCCACAATTATTGTTTTTACTTCTTTATTTTTAATTGTTTTATGTCCGTCTTTTTGCCGTCAGTGAAGAAGAGAGTCGGGGCTCAGAAAACTGAAATCTGTATTTTATTATCCTTTTTTATTCTATTCTAAACCACACACTTATTTACTCAACAATAAGCCACAATTATTCTTGTTTTTATTTATTTGTTTAATTGAATAATGACGGATCCTGGCCAAACGTCAATATTGTTTAGGTAACATTTTTAAAGAACCACATTCTTTCGACTTATTCATCATTTAGGCTACCAAATGTCATAAACAAGTGTACATAGAAATTTCAACAACAATGACGTCTTGGAAAAGTGTGTTGTCTCCGACCACCAGTCAACAACCTGAAAATGTGCAAAGACCACAGCACATGTTAGTCGTTTGTGCTTGTCACATGACACAGGTTTAGCGTTTAAATGTTATTTTTCGTGTACTCTGACCTTATTATATTTCACGTCTTCTCTCCTCTGTCTGTCTTTCTCTCTCTAGCACCCATTCCTGAAGCTGGCCAAGCCTCTGTCCAGCCTCACCCCGCTCATCCTGGCAGCCAAGGAGGCCATGAGGAGCAACCGCTAATTGTCTGCACGGACTTTAAGATGCCACTGACAGGGAAATCCTCCAGCCTCTCCTACTGGTCGACGCATGACGACCATCGGCAAACTGCTAGTGTTATAATTGTTTTTCAAAGGGTCACAAAATGCCTCTCCACTTTCTTCCAGTGTTTTCTTACCTTTGGTGCCTTGTTCTAAAGCTGCATAAAGCCATTATGTGTTTTCCATGTGCTGCAGCCAGAGTATGTTTATTTGGTGGGTTTTACTCTGGTTACTACAGTATGCAATCCAGAAATGTGGTTTCAATGTTGCAAAGGTTCAAGACTCTTTACATGCTAAGGGGTCATATTCATATACACTTGGAGTCCTCGGAGAAGACGCTTTAAAAAAGAGTTTTCTCAAAATAACAACCTGCTGCTGAGAGCTAAAGAAGAAACTGGGTATGGCCTTTTCCTATAAGACATATGGATTAATACATCCACTCGTTTCTCTACAGTGATTGGTTGACAGGTCTGTCAGTGAAAAAAATCAGGCAAAAACATTTCTATTTCTTCAGGGCTGCAGTCTAAACATCCTCAAATAGTGGCATGTTGTGCAAAGCATCGTCTGTTAGTGAGTGGGGCTTTTTCATTCTTGTGTTTTTGGCCCATCAGGTTATGACTTGTGAGCGAGATCTCGTGCTGATTTGACCTCTGAGTTTCTTGTTGGGGTCTTAAAATTTGCCGTTATTTTTTATTTCTTACGACTCAGAAAGTTTGGAGCTAGTTTAAGAATTAGTACTTTTTTTTTTTTAATAAGGAAATCATCATTAAAATGTAGTGTCATGTAAAGGTTTTTTAGGACAACACAAGATATGAAGAGTGGGAAATGTCCATGTGTGTGGAGAGATGGAACTTTTGCAACTGGTTTCTACGGTTGCTCTTTCTGCTGAGACACGTGCATCCAGACTGGGTCCAATAGTTTAAAAAAAAGAGGCATGGAAAGTGTGTAATGATACACTGGGCTGTACTGTGGCCCTCAGCATGGGACACTGTGGTCTTTGTGCAGAAGAGAAGCCATTATCAGTGTGTCCTCATATCTAATTTCAGTCAAATTAATCGATTTTCAAAGTAGTTTGACGTTCCGTTTTGTATAGGCAATATAAAAAACTGGCGTCTTTGGGTGTATCAACCCCAGAATATAATTAATTTAACTTCACACACTTCTGCTATCACACTCTTTGTGCAGGTTGTTCTACAAACTATGCAGAACACTGTAAAAACATTTCTATCGATGTGCTTGTCCTTAGCTGTGCCTTTACAATAGATGCCTTACACACATACTGTATCAGACTGTCTGAACGTGTTGAACTGGAGGTTGCTTCTTTGTTTTTTTTTGTATATTATG